GGCATGTGAGTGGGCAGAACCAAGCCATCGCCTGACGAGGACGTGATCAGCGGTTCAACAGACCAGTCCGCCGGCCCCAGCGTGTGGGGAAAGCAGTCCGAGATCGAGATGGGGAACTCATCAGCTGTGCTCGGCTGGGTGTGGCTTTGGCGACGACGACCCTCCGGCGGTTCGTATGGCCTCGCCCTGTTTTATCCTTTCTTTCTCACATTCTCGGCACCAGCCAGGTAGACGGCGGTGGTTCGTGATGAAGGGCGGCGCCGTGATGGCCTAATTGGGAGGCTCGGTCGCCAGAGTCCGGGCCTGTCCCCCGCAGACGACGAGACGAAAGCACGACGTTGAGAGGGCCGAGTGGTCTTTTTGCTTGAGGCTACGAGGAAATGCGTGCGGGTGGTGCTATGGGTGAATGCGCCAGCGCTGACTGTGATTCGACAAGGCAGGGGTGCCATTGAGAGAGCCGGGGGAGGGGGGACGTAAGGGAGGGGAGGAACTCTTGCGTCTGCGTCTAGAGAGCGACGTTGCAATGTATGTGCCTAGGTTCGCTTTGCTGGAGCCCACTTTCGGAGGATTTCCCTTGATGTCGGGTCGACGAGAAAGGGGGTGGGGGTTTGTGGTCTGGTGCCTGGGCTTGACAGCGGGCAATGGGTAGGCTATGGCAGGGAGGACACCACATAACGTGCTCAGAGCTTGACTGTTTTGGGGAGAGTGCAGATGGGACAGATGCCGGGGAGGAGAAGCCGAGCTCGAATGTCACGGTTGCGCCTCGGAAGCTGGGCAGTAAGATGAGGCATCTCAAAGGAGAAAGAGGGAAGAGCGTCAGGAGGACGATTGGCATGATGAGAGGCTTCAGGGGGGCTTGGGGGGGCTTGAGGGCTTAGGACGGTCGATTTGGAGCTTGAGCGAAAGCGGCGTCGACGGAGGGAAGGGCTTGTCCCCAGGCGGTGATGCCATCGTCAAGTACTGTCCGTGTTCACGCTGACTGAGTTGCTGTGCGGTCCGTCGATTCCAGGGTACAACGGGCTAGGGTACAAGCTAGATCATGGAATGGGACCACGGGGGGTCGATGATGGAGGAACCGGGAATGGCGAGACGGGGGCTCGAATGGGCATCTGCTCATCTGGCGGCTGTGGCCTTTACCATGTTGGGACGCACAATGTGGGTTGGGGGAGGGGGTTAGTACTTTGGGGGAAGCGAGGACAAGATTGGGAGTGAGAGATAGCGAACATGGGAGGCGAGAGTCAGCAGTTCGCCGCCAGGGCCGCGAGCCGATGGGCAGGGTTGAGCGGCATACTGTCAGTATGCTGAACCGAAATGGTGTCTCTGTTGGTGCTGCTGCTTCGAGTTCGCTTGAGACGCGGATGTGTGTTTGGCGCCTGGGTGCGGCTCGGAAGATGAAAGATGGGCATCGAGCATCATCAGCGACATCGACAAATCGCCATGGACATTTGCTCAGAGCGTGATCATCGGCATCAGCAGGAAATTCGCACGGGAATGGCGACAAACTCAGATGCAACGCTGATCATTTCTGCCCCGGGCTTTTGGCGTCTTACTTGTGTTGCGACAAAATCGAGAGCAGGAAAAAGGATGGGAAACCACAGCTCGCACCAGAGAACAGCATCTGGGCGGGCTTCGCCAAAAGCCGAAACAGACAAGACGGAACTGGCGGCCCTGAGGCCTGGAGAAGCGATACTTCCGCCACCTGTACCGGGCTGGTTAGATTAAAGGTACCTGTAGCCGTCTCTCAACTTGGGTGAGTGACCTGCCTCCACTGGACTCGGCCCTCCCTCCACACGACGAAGAAAGCCAGAGGCACGGCAAAGGTCAGCTGTCCAGACCAAACTCATTGGCCGGAGCAGGCGGCCGACAGCACAGGCCAGAGGGAGGTCTAACCCGTTTCTGCCTTGTTCTCCCCCATCTCTTGGCCCCCATCCATGCCATCTCGTCCACTCAGAGAGCCGTCTGCGTGAGGATTGGGGTCGCCGCACTTTATCCAGCCACGGGTTTCCGGGCCGCCGGGAAGCGCTTGCAGCAACGGGTTTGTCGCCCGAGTCTCTGGGGTGTGGTGGGCGCCAGTGCTGAGAGACCATGAGGGTCGGCCCCCTGGTCCCTCTTCCCCCGACGGTCGCCTCTCCCGGACTCAATCTATCCCTGCGGGACCCCAGACGCTGTGTGATGCTGATGGGGGTTCCTGGGTCGCCGTGTCAAGCGACTCGCGCAGCAGTAGGCGAGCGGGCCAGGCGGCCTGGACGGCTCAACGGTGCGCTTTTTGCTGGAGCGTCTCTGCTCCATAGCATCTCTTTTTGGCCTGTTCCAGGATGAACGCCCCTAGGACTGGGCCGGCCAGGTAAAGGATGAATTGATCGAACAGAAAAGAGAAAGGGAAAAAAATAATTGTGGAAACGGCTTTCATGTTTTGGCTGCTTAGGCGGGTAAAAAGATACTTGATAAAGGCTTCAGTGTGCCCCAGGCTTTGGCCCCCCTTCCCGCCCCCCTTTCTGGAAGTTCTTGATCAAGGTTTGGTCGTTGCGACACTCGATCACGACCGGACAGACTGCGAACGAATATTGGACGACGAACCCGGATCTTCGTCTTGGTTCGACTCGAGAAGCAGCAGCATCACGACAAGATACGACACGGAGGAGGTTGTGGTTGTCGAGAACCCCAGACCGGCCGGTACACGCACAGCACCGACCCCCGCTTCCCTCGCTTCGACTGGGTTGGTCAGAGGGTGAAGTCACTGGTCACAGACGCAGCACACAGCACACAGCACACAGCATACGGCTAGACACTCGAAGGACACACAGAGAGAGAGAGAGAGAGAGAGAGAGAGGACGGCGCAGGGCAGCAGAGTTGTGGTGCCCCCACACTGACAACGGTCAACGTTCCTTTCATTGGGAAAATTTCTTAGGTTGTTGGTCACTCGGCTTCGCTGGCGATCCGGATATTCGGGGTTGTCTTCGATCACCACCTACAGCCTGAATGAAGCCCGAAACTTTGGCACTCACTCACCAACACTTCGATTACGATCCCGCACCAACAACTACAACAATCTTCTCCTGTTGAGCTTTGCTTGTCCACGACAGCGACATTCAACACAAAAACCAAAGCGATAGG